TAACAGCCACACAAGTGCTGCAGTTTAGGTTGTAAGCATGTGCGCCGGACAATGTTCGGACATGTCGGAATTAAATAACATAAATAAATAAATACAAATCTTTTGATGTTGAGTCTGAGATTAAGAGATTTGCAAAACGATTTTTGTTTGTTTGGTTTTGTTGTAATTTATTATTATTTTCAAATCATTTACATAGAAAATGAGATCGTTTAATTTTTGAATGAAAGGAATTATTGAATTTTATTTTAGAAACTGCCAATATGACTCAATTTTAATATGTATTGGCGTTAAAATGTGATTGAAATATCCAAGAGTTATGGTTTTTAACTTTTTTGGATTGGCGGTTAATTTCAAACGTTTACATTGGACAATGTGCATTTTGAGATTGAATAAAAATGAAATCACTTGATTTTTGGTAGATGGGGAAGCATTTTTTTTATCCGAATCATAGATAGAACGAAGACCTAATAATAAGGTCATTGAGGAAGGCCAGCTGGATATGAACTGTCTCTCAAATTTGTCAAATAAATTTCATTTTCCAATGAATATGTTCTATCCAAGATCTATTAATAAGGTCACCCAGCTAGAGAAAGTCAGCTGCTAAACAAAATCCAAATTTTTGACAATATACTTGAGAAATAACAGCTGATTTTCGTTAACCTGGTTGACCTTATTAATAGATCTTGGATAGAATATATTCTTTGGAAAATGAAATTTATATGTCAATATTACAAGGAGATTTCAGGCAAAATGTATTATTTCGTTATATAACAGGTTTCAAATTTTACTTTTCAACCAGTTAAGTCATGGGATAATTACAGAAGGTAGCCTCATTTGAGAAATTTATGATGGCAACCCTTTTTAATTTGGAACTCATCTATCATTTTTAAATAATATTGTCAATAGAATACATTAGAAGAACATTTGTATATTAAACGGCATTATGAGGATTTGTTTGACATATATACAATGGAATTGACTATTATAACCCACTGGGTTAATGAAATCCGGTATAATGTAAACGTACTATTAAGTGGATTATTTTCAATTTCTATTTCTATATCATAATTTATTCATTGCTATTTATTAAAAACTCAACTGCATGACATAAATATACAAGGTAGACTCATGCAGTCACTTGTTTCCATTTTGTTTCATAAATTTGCCAATGACAGCATTCAACTTTCAAAATTTAAATTTAAATAACCTCCTTCGAAATCTACGCATGTCATGTGTTCAGTGGCAAAATTGCTAAATCATTTATATTTATAAATATTTAGAAGTTCCCTTCCTCTAAAACATATAAATATAAGTTGTAACAACCATGGTTAAATCTTGAGAGCAATGTTCAGTTTTAGAAAATATATTTTATATTATATTATTGAAAATATGCCAATCGACATAAATAAAATTTTATGGAATTTATTTGTCATTTTATTTGAAATTGATGTGTGAGATCCAAATTAAAATGGGGTTCCCTTATCAAATTCTCAAATGAGACTACCTTGAATAATTATGCCACGATTCGACGAATACGCTTTGGAATTGACATTTGAGATCGAGTGGATTTCGTAAATCTAAACGTACTTTAAGCATCCAAGGCATATCAATAAGGTGACCTTATTAATATATCTTGAAAGACACCATTAGCGAAAATCAGCTATTAATTCTCATGTCTAATGTCAATAAGGGGACTATGTTTACGTTTTCATAATGGAAGTCAATTCACAATAATGGATTTTAACAGCAAACTTGAGAGGCAGCTGATATCCAGCTGATCTCCCTGAATCTTTTTTATAGGTCTTGCCATGATGCAATAATAAGGTGATGTATCAAAACAAAATCATTTGTTTTTGTCTCGATTATCTGACAAAATTTTCCATATAATATTTAACATGGTTGGCAACATTGCACATCGAATACAAGTAGAAATCAAGACATCAGCTGCGCTAAATGGACTACCTATTTATTGTACCATGGGCCTTGCCATGATGTCTTTGCTTCAGTTTACTCAAAAATGTCCTGTGTAAACACCGTGTTATTTAAGCTATTATAATAGGTTTGTACGACTACTGTTATCACTTTTTAAACAATTGAAATAATTTCATTTGCAAATTTGTTGCAATTTCCAAATAAAATCTGACATTGACCAAAGTGAAGGCCATATATGTACTATGTGAATATGTGGTCTGCGTGGAAAATGTTTCTATTGTTTTGGGGAAAAAAAAAACATACATACATCATGGTTAGAAATTGTGGGAATGTCTCAAAGCTTTGTTCTTTGTTCGGCGTTATTGTTTCCATGTCGTCGTTGTCGTTGAAGAAATGTGGCGTCGGAGATATTTGATTATTTGAAGGTTATGTTTACAGGGTAATGACATTGTCTATAAAAGCGTTATTGGACACTGGAAGTAACTGCGTATTCAGCAGCTGAAAATGTTCTTGATCTTTTGGAGACAGATCGTTGTTCGAATGATCCAATACAATCTGTCGTTTAGACTTAACACCTATTAAACGAATCGAGGAAACCTACAGGTCTAATTTAAAAAAAAAAAATGGAAACCCTCGAAAACCCCAAGCCCTATAAATAAGGTCGTCCCGGGAGACCAGCTGGATATCAGCTGTCTCTTAAGTTTGCTGTCAAAATCCGTTATTGTGAATTGACTACTATTATGAAAACGTAAACAAAAACATTAGACTTAAGAAAAAGCAGCTGACTTTCGCTAGCTGAGTGTCCTTATTAATAGATCTATCAATAGGGTCATCCAGGTTGCGAAAGTCAGCTGTTTTTTCTCAAACCTGACCTCTAATGGCAAGAATTATTGACCTTCTATGGAAAGTTTTTTGGACTCCTATAAAAAATAGGAGTCATTCTATTAGATGTCTTGGTCTTCTGTTTAATTAACATAATTTTTTTTTAAGAGTTATCTTATAAATATATCCCGATGTAGTGTAATTATAAAAAAAACTCCTCTTTTTTCTATAGGGTTTTGTATATCAATATTATTTATATATTTTCTTCTTTTACTTATGTATTTTTTTATGTCTTATATAAAAAAATTGAGAGACTACTACGATAATAAATAGAGATGTAGGATACGAAGGTAGGGGGAAGAAATGCATTGACACATGATACATAAGTGTATATAAATAGGGGCGTATTTTGTGATTTACAAAAAATTTGTAATTGTAATACAAACTATTGATTTCTTAAATACACACACAGACTTAATGACAAAACCTATTTTTTTAAGAAAGACCTAAACAATACACCCTAGCAATATTTATTTTATTTTTTTAATTTTGTCTTCTCACACAAAATATGCATCTAAATGGGCCATTTTATCTTTGGGTTGTCTTGAACCGCCACGGCCACCTCTGCCGCTGCCACCACGACCAGGTTTGCCGCCTCTGCCACCGCGTGCACCACCACGGCCGCTGCGTATATTCACAGGGCGAGACGCAACGGCACGATGTTTCTCAACCAAATTGGCAAAATCTGCAGAACAGAAAATGCAACCGGATTTTTCCTCAGAGCCATCTTTAAATTTGGTTTTATCGGATTTATAGACCACATTGACCGTTTGGGCGCCACACTCCTCACATTTGTCATCTGAGGGGAAAGGAAAAACAAATCGAGGTTTTTAAAGGTTTTACAGAAATTTAAAAGCGAAATACTTACCCTCCACCGTGATCTTGGTGGCCCCCTTAAAGCAATTAATGATGACATCACACTTATTGCAACCAACCTTCCAACTGGGCGCCAACGTACAATCCAACACCAAAACACCATGTTCACATTCCACACAACCCGATATGCCTAAATTATTTTGTGAATGCGGGCAGGTGGGATGTGTACACGAATTACAGCCGGCATTTTTGGGCATATCCCTGAATGGCGGATGATTGTAACAGTAGGGACAAAAGGGATATGAACGCCCCTTTGCCCCCGTGGTAAATGCCAACAGTTCGAAATCGTCCAACGGACATTTGAATTCACGATAAACTTTGACATTACCACCATTTGGCAGGGAATAGGTTTCATCACATTGGGAACAATGAAGGCGGGCTGGTTTCGATTGTATATATTTCATATAACGGCGACATTTGCCACAGCGTGAATGGGATTTACCCGATTCGGCCAGCGGAGAAAATGACACCTCAAACAGGCTATCCATATTGGAGATGTTTTTAACAAAATATAAAAATTTCAAACGAAATATTTCGATGGCATGTTTCAGAACGGCATGATAATCGGCAGAGCCTTTGGAAATTAGATTTAACATTTTCTCCACCTCCGAACGCATTGTGGGTAAGACCAATTCGGGATCGATCTGTAAGATAAAAACAAAGTTAAAAGTTATAAATTTAAAAAAAATTGTGCATTCCCTACCTTTTGATAACCATGCACCAGCACAATGCCCAATGTGGTGGGTATTAATTTACGACCACTTTCAATGGTCACATAATTACGCTGACATATATTATTAATGTGTACGGGTATTGAGGCATCAGTACCTATGCCATGTTGTTCCATCAACGTAATCAATTCCGCCTCGGTCAAATAGTCGGGTGGGCTGGTTTGACTTTCAGCCAGACGTACATCATTTATTGCCACTTTCTCGCCTTGGGTAAATTGTGGTACTGCCTCATCTCGCCCAAAGGCCAACCATGTCATAACCTTTGTAAATCCTGGATCAACCAACACATTTGCCGTACATGTAAATGTCTCAGTGGCAACTTTCAGTTTTACTGTTGTGGCACGATATTTCAAATCTTTCGAAATGGTTCCCAAGAAGTGACGACAAATAAAATCGTAGACACGCCAGGTGTCACGATCGAAATCATTGCGAGTGGCCAATTTCATAGGGGTAATTGGAGGATGGTCACCACAATCTTTACCTTTGCGGGGTGCATTAAAATCAGCCAATATGGAATGAGCCTCAGAGCCAAATTCCGAAGAGGGTTTCAATATATGAAGAACGGCACTGTGTGGGAAGGAAGGCAGAAATTTTATTTTTTAGAAAAATTTTGTATATCTTTATTTTAAAAATAACTTACTTTAAATCGAAATTAGCTGGATATTGATTGGTCTCGGTACGTGGATAACTGATGTAACCCTGTGTGTACAGACGCTCAGCAATTTGCATGGCCTGAAAGGGGCCAATACCCAAACCGGAACTACAAATTCTCATTAATTCAACGGTATTTAAGGCCTGGGGTCGTACACGGGTTTGCTCTTTCGAGAATACACTTTCAATTCTACAAAAAAAAATTAAATTAAAAAATGTTAAAAAAAGTAAAATAAAAAAAATAAATTAAAAATGTTTTCCAAATTGATTATCGAAAAAAAACACTTAAAAATTTCTTAAAATTTTATGGAATATTATCAAATTCCCCCGTCCTCCTTTCTACTTACATTCCCTCCTTTTGATTCTTGACCAAATTCAGCAGCATTGTTGCAATATCCTTTTTAAAAACTCTACCACGATTCCATTCAAACGAAAACTCCGGCTGACCCGCTGTCAACTGTAGATACCAAAAACTTTCGGGTTTAAATGTTTGTATATCATCATGACGTTTGACACAAAAACCCAATGTGGGTGTTTGACATGGACCATAGGAGATTAACGATGAATCCAAATCACCATAACGTCCTTGAAAGAATCTCGTTTGAAACCTGGTAAAGGCACAACCAATACGTAAATCCAACTCCTGACGGGCATCAACCGATTTGGCTTCATTTTCATTCGGGTAACCCAAGGAGTTCATTGCCCCCTTGATGTCTTTCTCCGTAATGGCCGAAAAATGGGCACGATATGTAACGTTGCGGCTATAGACATTGTTTATGACACGGGATACACACTCCATTACTTCGTAGCAAATATTTTCACCTTCTTTATCGCAATCAAGCCATAGCACCAAATA